CAGCCCTGAGCACACCCCAGTGGTTGGTGTCTTCCCTACCACATTCTTCATTCATCTTCACCTGCCCAAGCCCCTCTTCCCAGCATCCCTCTCAAGGCACAAGGTTACTCGAAATGCTATGCTTTGGAATCTGGGAGGGCCTGCCTTCTAGTCTGTTCCCTGGTCTACGCGGACTTGATTTCTACCAAGTGTCCAGAGAGATGATGGGACCAGAAACATACAACCATCCCAAGCTCGAGTTGGGATTGCCTGCTCGCTCAGCTGCCCCATCCTCAATGTTCCTGGTGCTCCCAGGCCCAGCCTGGAGAGGAGCCCATGGGAGTGGCTCCTGGGAGGGAACAGCGAGTAGGAGAGGAAATGGGCAAACAGGGCACCCTCCACCCGAGGAAGCATCCCTGCTGTTCTGCGGGGGTGGTTCCAGAGCGCACATACAAACAGACAGATTCAGACAGACACACACAGAAACCCACACGCCCAACGGGTGCTTCCCTTCCCTGAAGGCAACCACCTCCTGCCCCTCTACTCCCCTGCCTCTCTGAGCCCAGTCTGAAACAGGAGCAATACCAACTACTTCCCAATCCTTGTGGATGGGATGAATTTTGGAGGCCACAACCTGGTCCCAAGTCACACCACCATCTCTGAAGAGGGCATCCATGAAGAGCCCAAGGACTTTCTCTCAAAAGGGACAAGAGTGAGGGCAAGGAGCCTTTCAGCAGCTGTTGAGGACAGTAGGATGGGTACTTGGGAAAGGAGGTCCATACAGCAGAAACTGTTCATATGTGGGCCTTGTTGACACAGATCTTCCTATCCCCTCACCGTCACGGTGGGGGGGGGGTGTCAGGTTGGCAGGGATTGTTTATTTGATTGAGTTTTTCCTACTCCCTTTTTAATCAAACACTCACTTGGGGGCGTTCTGAAGCTGCTAGTTTGCCATGGAGATGAAGGTGGAGGGTCTAACAGGGACTGGAGCCCCAAGGCTCCAGCCTGGCCTCTAGCTCCCACCCTGGCTCCTGGGCAAGGTGGTAGGCTGGGATTTGCCTGTGGTCCCAGTCTAAGTCCTTTGGCCTACGTTAGCTGAGAAGGCCCATGGGAGAATCGTTTTTTGGGGGAAAGCCCTGTGGCTTGAGGCCTGGAAGAGGCCAGAGTAGAAGCTTGTGTTGTTCTGAGTCCCAAGGGCCTGTGGCTGTCTTCCCCTAAGGTAATAGGGACTGTCTCAGGGGAGCTGAACAGATGCCCACCCCTACACCTCCAGTTGCCATATCTGCCCGTCAGATTATATTGCCTGGACTAGACTAGAGCTCTCGGGCCAGCCTTCTGGAATGTTTAGGGGTTAGTGGAGATGAAGGTGGGGAGCAGTACCTCCCACACCCCACCACATTCCTCATCCTTGCATTAGAGCCTGTGCCACAGGCCAGAGCCCTTGTGGCTGACTGCTGTGGCTGAGGATGGAGGACACACACAAAAGACACAAACACAGAGGGGAAAGCCACCCACTGTGTGGTCACAAGACCAGACCATGGACCTGGCAAGCTGGCTATCACCCCCAGACTCACATGGGGCCAGCCATAGCCCATTCCAACCCCTCATGCACTGACACACATGCTGACACACTCGTGCTGACAGGCACAGCCTCACTCACAACCGGCTGCCCTTTCTCCACCCCAGAGCCCCTTACCTGGGCAAGCACAGTGCCCCTCAGGCAGAGTAGCCCCCTGCCCAGGGGTGGGCAGCAGGCAGGGCGGGGGAAGGAGCCCCGGAGAGTCAGGCCAAGCTGCCACTAATCCGGGCGGGGAGAGGGGGGGCACACACGTCAGAGCGGGGACTGCCGGGTGGAGGGCATCTGAGGACATCCCCTCCCACACACGCGGCCGTCTGGGCACCTAGCCCTGCTTCCCCAGCCCCTCCATCCTTCACACAGCTGAGGCTAGCCTCCCCCCACCCCACCCCCACCCCTGCGGCCATGCCTGAGGTGGGGGACATAGAGGGGGGATACCGGGAGAAATCTCCCAGGACCAGGGGGAGGGAACAGGGAAGGGAAGTGTGGAGATGTTGCCAGAGCCAGGAGGAAGCTTGGTGGTAGATGCTATCCTCTCCTCTGGCCCACCCACCCACATGGTTGACCTAATTCCTCTTCTGGAGCCCTCCTTCTTTTCTAGCCCTCCCCCACTGCCATCGAGCTTCCATTGTGTTCCAGGCTGAGCTTGGGACTTGTGTGCCCAGCAGTGCCAGCTCTGTCCCCAGGATCCCCCAGCCCTCGGCACCAAACAGCCTTCTGTGGTGAAGATCACCTGTTAGTGCTCCCCAGTCCCAGATGCTGGATGAAAAATGGGGACAAGAACCCGAGCAGCTACCCCCTGACTCCCCTCCAATGGCGGGCGGTGCCTGCCAGGACCCCCAACTCAGCCTGGGCAGGGGTCATGTGGGATCTAGAGGCTTAGTATGCTGCTGAGAGCGGCAGCTAAAAATACAGTCATGGGTTCCTGGGTGTTGTGACTAGGACAGTGAAGGACCACAGGTCAGAGGGACAGTGATGGGGCCAGGGACAGAGGGCTAAAAGGATGGCAGAAGGAGAGAGGCAGGTGAGAGGGAAGCAGGTAACAGGCCAGGGAGGGTGGGAAAGTGCAAATGGGAACTGGACCAGGACCCACAGAAAGGATGTTCTAGGGGTCACGTCCTTTCCAACCTTGAGCATACCCAAGATGACTAGGCACCCTAGTATCAAGTAGAGGGTTGGTGGCTCATGGAAGGCAAGAACATGGCTTAATCCCCACCCCTCTTAAGAGGCCAGGCCAGAGGATCAGTGGTGGGCCAGGGACCCTCTCCAGAGATGGATAGCACTGGGTGGGGGTGTGCCTGGGTGGTTCTCAGAGAGGCGGAGCTGCTCCTAGGGATGTCCAGGTGATACCCAGTGCCCCAAGTCTCAGGCTCACACTTATGCTTGCCCAGAAATACCTACAACTTGGACTTCTACCCCTTCCTGTGTGACCTCAGGATGCCTTGGTAGCCAATTTTAGCTAGCCATTCATCAAGCCATATCAGAGATGTTGGTAGTTTGAAAGAAAGCTCTGAGGCAGAACTGAGGTGACACAGGACACAGACACCACCCTGAAGAGGGTTAAGACACTGATGTATAAGTTCTTTTAGTTAGGAGCCACTCTTGGAGACATGAATGTGATGACAAAGGACCCCATGACTTCTAATCCTGTGCTTCGGAGTTAGAGATGCTTCCCAGAGGAAGGGATGACGTTTGAGCTCATAAGTCAGACAATCACCACCAAATCCCACAGTTATAAAAATACCTCAACCACTTATTCTGGGCTGGGATACAGCAGTAAAATAAAGCTGGTTCTGAAGTCACGACTGAGGAGGGACAGAAAAAACATGACGTACTCAAGAGGAAAACAGAATCCCTCCATGAACAGTGACTGTAGGAATGCCAGATGAGCAAGGCAGCGGCAGAGGCATGCCTGCAGAGGCTTTGACTCTCTGAGCAGGGGTAGGAGTATAAATCTGAATAGGATGGAGTTGGGTGGGGAAGAAAAGAGCAGACATGGTAAAGTACAGACATGGGCTTTGCAGAGCCTGGGGACACTGGCTGCAACAGTTCTGCCAGGGGGACCAACTGACTTTGCCCACTTCCCAGGCAGCACCACTGTAGGGGAGAAAGCTGTTTCACCTGTAAAATGGGCATGGGCCCGTTTGAGAGAACACAAGGAAACCGTCTCTGCAAAATGCCCAGCACAAGGTCAGGCATGCAACAAATATTCCGTACATGCCAGGCGCCTTCTCCCTGCCTGCCAGGCAAGGAACAGCCCATTTACTGAATAGTGATTAAGTACATCAACTCTGGAGCCAGACTGCTTGGTCCAAAGCCCAATCCTGCCACTTACTAGCTAGGCCACCTTGGGCAAATCATTTGCCCTTCATGTGCCTATTTGGGAAATGGGGATTATAATAATAGTACCTACTTCCTTGTCTTCTCACCCCTACAGTATTTAGCAGCACATCCTCTGAGTGAATTAATGAGGTGGTAAATCATCACCACAATGAAAGGGAATGCCATAGAGGAAGCCACTGAATTCCAATCCCAGAGAGGCTAAATCAGCCACACAGATTAAGTGCCTTCCTTCCAATAAAACCCAGATAATCCCCACACCAAGAGTTAATCCTCACAGGCTACTCCAATTTAGCAGCTCATATGTCTCCTCCAACCAGCACTCCCTCTACTCCCATCTCTTTACTCCGGATGATGGGTTGTGGGGAGGGAGCACCCCGTGGCTACTATCACTCCAACATCAGAGGCAGACGACCCAAGCATTGAAGATGGATTAGAACCAGTCCAGGGCGAGAGCCTGGGTCTCTGTGTATGGAGCAGGCCACAGATGCGCAACGAACAGCAGACAAGGGATATCATTGGGCCTGCTGGCTTCGGCATCTTTCCTTTGGCCTGCCCCATCAGCAGCCAGGCCCCAGCAGGGTGAGGCTTTGGCTAGTCTCCGAGCCCCGCCCACCTTGACCTGGAAGGTGGGGGCAGCTTGGCCCCAGGCAGCTGCTGCCCTCTTGTGGCTTCGAGTGCAAATTCAACCTGATCATGCCTGAATGTTTACAGAAAGGTTTGCAGAACTGAAACCCTCCAGGTTCATGGAAGACCTAGCCTGCAGTTTCCAGTCCCTATACCTTCGCCTCTTTCTGTAAGGGCCAGTACTGACTCCTGACTCTGAGTCCTCTTCAAGACTCTGACTTTTTTTGGAGACATTATCTCTCTAGTTCTGGAACTTGCTATGTAGACCATGCTGGACTAGGATTCACAGAAATCATTCTGCCTCCCTCAGAACAATGTTGGGATCGAAGACTTATGCTCCAGCTTGACTCTGCAGGGGTTCCTAGGAGCTCAACCATGAGGACACTTGCCATTGTGACTGTTAGTTGGTGGCATAGAGATCTTCTGGTAGGTTTTCCCACCCTGCAGTGGGCTGCTAGTTACAATATGAAGAGACAAATCAGGGAAGCCAAACACCATTAGGTATTTATTTATAAAAACATCCACAAGCCTGACCTCACTCACCAACATGAAACACACAGCTAGGACACTCACACACACACACACCAGGCCTTGAAGAAGGCTGTCAAGTACTTTGAAGGACAAGAAGGAATGAACACAACAGGTTGGACTTTTGATTTCATCTAGAGGGACTAGTGGGGCTCTGGTCCCATGTCTGGAAAGGGAAAAGGATGAGGAAGGCAATAAATAGGACTCTGGGCCTGGCCTGCTTTGGTATACTGTACGTGTATCCCTATGCCGGGTAGGCAGTTGCAGAAGCCAGAAAGGGCAGAGCCCAGGCAGCTGGTGTAGCAGCAGCAAAAGGTCCCCTGCTGGCTAGAGAGGTAAGATGGCCTGACTGCAGAATCTAACTGTCCATGTCCGAGGGCATCGTCTTTTTCCGGGTTCGGACCTTCAGGGAGCGTGAGGTGCCCTTGGGGAGAGAAAGCCAATATACCATGAGTGTCATGGACATAGCAGCTCAATAGACATCCCTCATATTGTCTTTCCAACACACTGACCTCTCGAACCAATGGCTTCCTCTTGACCACCCGAAGGCTCTGGCTGCGGCTCAGAGGCTTCTCTCGGGGCCGGGCAGGTGGCTGGGGGGTTATCTCATTGTCTGACCAACACTCATCCTCCGTGTCACTATCTTGCAGGCCGCCTGGCCGGTACCCTGTGAAGAGAGGCTAGTGAGGCAAAGCTGAACATTTATACAAAGCTGGGGTCACTCCCAGCTTTCTTCTAACCCTCAGAAAGGCAGACCTTATTCCTTTTCCACTTACCAATCGGGGGTCTTCGTCGGGGTACCTGATCTTCCAGGTAGAGGGGATCTTGGTAGGTGGGAGCAGAGGTGTCAGGGATAGAGCGGAGATCTTGCATGGAGAAGCTCCGTAGCCTTCCAGCCAGAGCACCCTGACTCTAGGAGGTGAGGGATGGGAGGCACTGTATTAATTGCAGAGGAGGGCTACAGGGGGAAGGGCTTTAGCAGGGAAGCTGGTCTGTAGCGAATCACTAGGGCACAGGATTCAGAACCGGACTAGCTCAAAGGTAGTGGGAGTGGGGCTGACACTGTGAGCACCGGGACCCAGGGCACCTTGGTAGCAGCCTGCACAGCAGCCGAGGCAGCGATGTTGAGGCCCCGCTTCCCGAAACTGAGCATGGTCTCGTAGCTGCGCTCCTTTGCCTGCACAATGCAAGCATCAATCTCCTGCAGACCCAGAGTGGAGAGTTCAGATCAGCAAAGGAGCCATTTCTCCTCCGCAGACCCCAAGAAGCTACTGGCTGTCATAATCCCTTGTCCACTCCTACCTAGGACCCAGGGGCCACAGACAGAAGCTCAGAACAAAAACTAAGAGCACAACACTCCAGTCCACACCTCAGTGAGTGTCCCTTCCATTTTTCCATGCTCACATCAACTTCCTGCTGGCATGTCACACCCTTGAAGTTCACTCATATGTATCATCCAGGTAGATGAGGAAAGCCAACCCCTTTCACAGTCCCATAACAAAACTCAAGTGGGACAGGAAATGAGACCCAGGTATCTCTGGCTCCCTGAACCTGAGCTACAGGGCTCTCTCCGAGTCACACCCTCTCCCTGACACACCCTTCTTTCTGTGTTCCTCCATCTCCCCCAAGGGTACCTTCTCATGGCGGGATAGGGACGGGTGGACAAACTTTCGGTAAAGAAGGCTAGCTCCCTTGGTGTAAGGTGACAGCAGCCATAGCACGAAAGCCATCTTAATCTCATAGTAAAAAGGGAACCTGCACGGCAAGGGGAGAGGTGTATGTGAGCCAGGTATGAGGAGGTAGGGCTGCCCAACCCATAGCCTGCCGATCCTCGTGCCAAACCAGGAAATGAAGACATCTGTGAAGGTCTCTGCTGCCATGAAGATTGCAAAGACAATCCAGTACATCATCCACCGGACCTGTGGGTCGGAGTGCATAGCGCTCAGCTTGGGAGCCTGAGGTGCCAATGCCCGCCCCCAGCTGGCCCAACCCAGAGATTCCTGAGAGCCAGTCCCACAGCATTGCTGCATTTCCCCATGTCTGCTTAGACAGGAGCCCCTGAGAAAATGCCTTTCGTTCCAGTGCCCACCCCAGCATGCTTCAGCCACAAGACCCTCCATGGGCATGCTAAAGGCTGGCCCTCCTTCCATACTCAATTGACCTCTCTACCCAAGATCTGCCACACCATCAAGGCCCTGGAGTCTGAGAGCCCAGCCCAGCCGCTTCCATATCACCAAGTCTTGTCACCCCCTCCCTGACTACTCAAGGCCAACAACATTAGTTAAGCTTTCCTGCCAACCCTTTGCACTCACATATTCTCGAATGTTTTTGCTCTTCACAGCCTTGTAGGAAGCATATGCAGGATACAGCATCCCAAATATGAGCCTGGAACAGCAACCATGGGAAGTGTGAGGGGCACCATGCCCCACCCTCTCCCTGCCAGAGGGCTGATTCCCCCAACCTGGGTTCGAGGTGGCAATGCCTGCCCTGTTTTTCCCGCTTGGCTTGCACAACCCAAGGTGCCTGAGTCAGAGCCCTGGAGGCTGCCTCCCCACCTGGCTGTTTACAAACATCCCAAGCCTGCTCAGGCCTGCACTGGTGGCCCATGGGTACAAGATAGACACAAGGTGGGTGAGAGCACCCGGCTGTCCCCTCCCACTACACGCAATCAGGCCCAGGGTCACCAGGTTACACAGAGAGAGACATTTGTGCCAGGTGTGGAAATATCCAAAAGTGAGGGGTAGACTTGGGAGGCCAAAGCACCAAAGCTAGGGTGATGGGTTATGTGGCTGCTCTGATGGGAAGGAAGCACCTAGATTCTCCGCCCACAGCAGCGTTCATTTATCACCTTCCCACGGGATGTGGGTAGCAAAGCCTGAGCCCTGCCTGCACCTGTCTGCAGGGTGTGCGCATGTAGGAAGGGTCCCAATCAGCCTAGAAGGATGCGGCTTGGGAGCAAGACATTCAGCGATCAAGTCCCACTTCAGATCTCCAGGACCGTTAAGCGTGTGTTGGGGAAAGGCAAATGGAGTTCAGAAAATTCTCTCCTTTATCAAACGTTCCCAGTTTCCACCCCAAAGGCAGGCTGGCACCGGGGGTCAGAGGGGTCTCAAGGGGCCATACTCACACCACTAGGCGACAGATCATCCAGGATACCATCCTGACAGCCTTGAGGATGACCCCAAGAGACAACTGGAGGGACGCTCCACTCAGGAGCTGGGGCAAAGGGTCGAGTGGTGCTGCAGTACACCCCTAGGTGTAGGAAGAGACCACCACCTCTGACTCCGATCCAGCAGTGCGAGGAGCCTGGAGAACCCGGAACCAGTGGACTTAGGGCCTTGAAGAGGAAGCCGACTTGGGAGCGGGGAGGGCGGGCGCGTTCCTCCGCCCCGTGCCTCGAAATTCTGGCTCAGTCCAACAATTCCTACCGCGGAGAACCGCGCGTTCGCCCGTTGGGGGCGCCGCTGCTAGTCCCGGTTCGGAGAAGCAGGTCCCGATCTCCGCTCTCAAGGACCGCCAGGGTCCCGGGGCGACCGACCACCGGCACCAGTGTCCGGGGCGGAGTTTGTAACTCACTTGAAAGTTGCACGCAACCAGGTTTTGCCCAACCCTAGCGCTCAAGCTCTAGGCGCAGGCGCAATGAAGCCTCTAGAGGGGCGGGGCGAGGTTGTGGAGACAAAAAAGCCCGTCCTTAAAGCGGCGATGCTTCTCGCAGCTCGAAAGTGGGGCCACAGGTCAAATAGTGTTCCAGGTCTGAAAGGTTAGCAGGTGGAAAGTCACAACGGAAAGACAGAACAAAACAATCGGACTTCTAGCTTGATGTGGTGAAGTTCACATGAACCCTTGAGGCAGAGGCAGGAGAATTACCAGTTCAGTCTGGGCTGCAGATATATAAAGAAGACACTGTTGCAAACGAACAAAAGGGAAGAAGTTCATAATGAAAACAAAACAAAAAAACCGAATTGTATTGCAATCTCCCAGTGTCCTTTTCTGTCATTTCTCCCTCTCTGTAGAATGTGATAAAGCCTGAAATGAGCCGGGCTGTGGTGGAACATGCCTTTAATACCAACACTTGGGAGGCCGAGTTTGGTCTACAGGCGAGTTCCAGGACAAGGCTCCAAAGCTACACAGAGAAACCCTGTCTCGAAAAACCAATAAAAAAAAATTAAATGAATGAGTAATAAATAAAAAAGCATGAAATGAGTGTGTCCTGGAGACTCGGGCGCCAGCTGGAAGCAAGCTTGGCTGATACCACCATCCCAATGGTCACGAGTGAGCTCGGGGAGGCAGGCATCCTCCCAACAGTGGACTTCAGGGTTCCACTTCTCTGTAAAGCAGCTTTCTAAGATCCATATTGTGTGCACGCTGCCAGTTTTTGAGTTCCTACGTGCATCTATCCCATTGTGTCTGGAGAACAGTGTTTCCTTGAAGGCATCCTCCACTTCCTGTACTTTTTGTTTTATTTTTCGAGGCAAGGTTTCTCTGTGTAGCTCTGGAGCCTGTCCTGGAACTCACTCTGTAGACCAGGCTAGCCTCATACTCACAAAGATCCACCTACCTCCGACTTCTGAGTGCTGGGATTAAAGGCCACTACCTCCTAGCCACCTCCTTTTCTTACGCTTCCTATCCCCACCTTTGCAGAGATCCTGTAGCTTTGAAGGGAAGGCTGTGACATAGACATCCTATTTCAGTCTGACTGCTCCAAAGTCTCTCCTCACCCTCTGCATATTGTCCAATTGTGGGTCTCTGTCAACTATCTGCTGCAAGAAAAAAACTTCTGATTTTACTCTTGGTGGGTTTGTTTTGCTTTGCTTTTAGACAGGGTTTGTCTGTGTAACTTTGTAGACCAGGCTGGCCCCATACTCACAGAGATTCACCTGCCTCTGCCTCCTAAGTGCTGGGACCAAAGGTGTACACCACCACTGCCCAGCTCATAGTCTTAACCTTTGCAAAGATTTGTTTATTTCTTAACATTTAAGAAATGTGCTTAGGGAAGTAAATGGCCCAATATTACCCAGTGCTATTTATTGCTGGTCAGGCTAAATGTGTGGCATAGGAATCAGCAGCAGCCAGTAATAAGTGGCCCTGGGAGGGGGCATGGACCTAAAGAAGTTACCTGGATGGGATAGGTACCCTGCAAGAAGGAAGGAAGCTACACAGAAGGAAGACTGTGGCTTTTCACACAGGGGGTTTCTTTCTTTGTGACATCTGCCTCCTATCTCAGGTGTTCCTGAGGAGTTCAGTGCCCGACCACCTACATCAGCTGCCTGGAGGTAAGGGTGCAAGCCGAGCGACCCCAGGGGGTGGGGGGTGGAAACACAGGCAGTTTACTGCTTTTTATTAGAGCACAGTTAACACCCACCAACTATGAGGATGGAGTTGGTAATGATGGGAGCCAGGGAAAGGAGGCTTCTCGGTAATAAACAAACACATGGTGATTATACAGTCTTAATTATTATCATCAATTTTATTGGTATAGCTGGATGTGGGAGCCAGCAATGAAACCTGCCCACAAGAGAAACTCCTCCATGCCTTCAGTCTCCCTAGCTCCTACTGCCCCTCCCCCCATACCATTTTGGAGAAACAAGAAACACCAAGGCCTGAGAAAGTTCCAGACACCATGCATCTTGTGAGCCATGTTTTTTTTTTTTTTTTGTTTTGTTTTGTTTTTTTAAGACAGATTTCTATGCCTAGGTGTGGCCTTGGCCTTGAACGTCTGATCTTCCCGCTTTTTCCTAAATGCTGGCATTACAGGTGTGTGTCACCATGTTATCATGTTAGGTTCATACAGTGCTAGGGCTCAAACTCAGGGTCTCATGTATGCTAGGAAAGCACTGTACTGAGCCACATGCCCAGCCTTCTAGAGTGTGTGTGTGTGTGTGTGTTGCCTGCATGTTTGTTTGTGCCTGCAGAGGTCAGAAGAGGGTGTTAGATCTTCCTGGAACTGGAGTTGTAGGCTACCTGGCTGTCCTGAAATTCGATACGTAGACCAGGCTGGCTTCAAACTTACAGAGATCTCCCTGCCTGTGCCTCCTGAATGCTGGGATTAAAGAGTTGTGCCACCACACCTGGTCTAAATAATCAGATCTGAAGGGCAGGAGAGATGGCTCAGCAGTTAATAGTACTCGACGCCCTTCCAGCCCCCACATGGAGGTTAACAAACTAAAAGTATTGTGTATCCCCTTGAAGGCAGAAGGATGCAACTGACAAACCAACTTAGGAAGTATAGAGAGGAAGAGACACCCTTCACTTGAGAAACCCATGTGAGTCCAAATCCTTTGGTATGTTCAACCACTGGGTAACTTCTAGAACCTCCTTCCTGACTGTAGTATCAAAGCCTTGTGTGGTATAGGCAAGGGTGGACATGTGTGTGTGTGCAGAGGCATGTGTGGGCATGTGTGTGTGTACAGAGGCATGGGTGGACCTGTGTGTGCAGAGGCATGGGTGGGCATGTGTGTGTGTGCAGAGGCATGGGTGGGCATGTGTGTGTGTGCAGAGGCATGGGTGGGCATGTGTGTGTGTGCAGAGGCATGGGTGGGCATGTGTGTGTGTGCAGAGGCATGGGTGGGCATGTGTGTGTGTGCAGAGGCATGGGTGGGCATGTGTGTGTGTGCAGAGGCATGGGTGGGCATGTGTGTGTGTGCAGAGGCATGGGTGGGCATTATGTGCGCAGGCAGGGGACAGTAAAGGGCAGCAGGATGTCTTTCTCAATTATTTCTCTACTTATTTTTATTTGTTTGTTTAAGACAGGGTCTTATAGCCGGGCAGTGGTGGTGTACACCTTTAATCCCAGAACTTGGGAGGCAGAGGTGTAAGGATCTCTGTGAGTTTGAGGCCAGCTTGGTCTACAAGAGCTAGTTCCAAAGCCACACAGGGAAACCCCATATCAAAAAACAAAACAAAACAAAACAAAACAAAACAAAAAAAAAAAAAAAAAAAAACAGGGTCTTACTATGTAGGCCCATCTGACCTAAAATTTACAGAGATCCCCTTGGCTTTGCCTCCTGAATGTGGGATTAAAGGCGTGTGCCACCATGCCCAGCTTCCACCCTTTTTTGTTTGTTTTGTCTTTCAAGACACGGTTTCTCTGCATAGCCATGGCTGCTCTGGAGCTCACTCTCTAGACCTGGACTTGAACTCAGAGATCTGCCTGCCTCTGTCTCCTGAGTGCTAGGATTAAAGGCATGCCTCAGCACTGCCAGGCATTTTTTTTTTTTTTTTTTTTTTTTTGAGATGAGACATCTCCTTGTTCCTGGGGCTCACTATTTCAGCTAGACTGGCTGGCCCATAAGCTCCCAAGAACAGGACACTCCAGGATCTGTTCCCACTCCTCCAGGGCTGGGATTGCCTCCATGCCTGGCTTTTTATGTAGAAGTTAGGGACCCAAACTCAGACCTTCCTGTTTGTGCAGCAGGCACTTTACCCACTCGCTAAGCCATCTCCCTAGGGACCAACCTAAGCCTTGTTTTGAGTTAGGTGTGGAGGCACCTGCCTATAATTCAAGCATTTAGGAGGCTGAGGCAGGAGAATTTGATTTCAAGGGTGGCCTGAAGTACCTAGTGAAATCCTAGGTGAAAGAAAGAAAGAAAGAAAGAAAGAAAGAAAGAAAGAAAGAAAGGAGGGAGGGAAAAAGGGAGGGAAGGAGAGAGGAAAAAAGGAGGGAGAGAGGGAGAGAGGGAGGAGAAAAAAACAACAACTGCTTCCCTTTGCTTTCACTCACTGGGAAGAGCTTGCCTGTGCCCACTATGAGCTCTCCCAGCTGTGGCGATCTGTCCCATAGAGACTCCTGGTCATGAGGCCTGTGCTTGGGAGAGTTAAAGGGCAGGAAGTCAGAGGTCTGATGCTGGGAGTGGGGGATCGTCATGGAGGAGTGTGGGGCTGGCAGCCAATTGCCACCCTCCTTGGCTTGGACAGAGTAAGTTAACTCTGGCTCTTATAGCCTTTGGTCCTGAGCTGTTGACACAGCCATCCAGTTACCCTGAGTTGCTAAGCAGCTCCATGGACTCATGGCTGACCCCCCAGGCAGGTGACCAGGCAGCCTTGCCACAGAAAGCTGGGCATTCAATGTTTGATGGAGAGAATGTCTCTACTGAAGGGAGTGGCTTGTTAAGAGCAGTGTTTATCTTGCAGCTGGGCAACCAAAGGCCAAGGTATCAGGGAGACTAAAGCCATTTCCCTTGACAACTCATTGGGCATGGGTGCCCAATTGTTTCCCATTTGAAAAAAAAGAGGCCGGGGAGGTAGTTGAGTTGGTATAGTGCCTGCCAGATATATATAAAATCCTGGGGTCAATATCCAGCACCACATAAAAGTGGCATGATCATATACAGCTGTAATCTCAGCATTTGGGAAGTGGAGGCAAGAATTAAAAGTTCAAAGTTATCTTTGACTACTCAGTGAGTTTAAGGCCAGCCTGGGCTATATGAGACCATGCCAAAAGGAAGGAATACAGGGAGGGAGGCAATCCCGGGAAGGGATAGAGAGGATTCAAGGATCTCCACTCTGCTAAGAGCATAGGAATATGATTTGAGCAGATGGAAACCTAGACCTGTCGCTTTAAGCTGTGGCCAGGAATAATTGGAGGGCTGGGTGCCTGAAGC